TTGAATATTTTAACCAAAATCGCCCGGTCGATAACCCCTCCCTCGCTCCCGCTCCCCTCCCCCTCCCGCCCTGCCGGCCGCCTCCCTCCTCTCCGCCCCCTCCCGTTCCCTCCGCTCCCCGGGCGCGCGCCAGGGGGCGCACGAGGCTGGCACTGCTCGTCGCCGGCCCCCTCGGAGGAGCCCCACCCCCCCTACACGCTCTGCGCACGCGCGTCCGAGCTGCGCCGCTCCTGGCGCAGCTGAAGTGCCCTCAGCCTGCCAGTCACGCCTTGGCTTTTTTTCGGGGCGCCTTTGCTCATGCGCAACTTTCTCCACGCGCCTGAAAGGCGGCCAGCGCATGCGCTTCTCTTCACCACCGCCTCCTGTAGCGTAGCTGCGCTTCAAAGTGTAGCAAGTCAAGTGCGTGTTTCTGTCTTCTGTAAGTGGTCCGTTGTCCTGCCTTGTTCCCCTCCCGGATGCGCTCGGGCTTTCCAGGGTGGTATTGTAAAAAGGCAGGGGTCACGGTGGCTGACCGCAAGTACGCGCTCGAAGGGTTCGTGAGGACCCTGCGCTCCTTGAGGTGGACACACTGCGGCCCAGGGGCCGCTCCCGGACTCGGTAACTTCCGGCCTTGTGGGCAGGTAAGGGCGGAAACGCCCGCCAGGGACAGCGCAGCAGGAGGCACCTGCTGAGGCAGGCGCCGCCGTCCCGCTTTCAATTTGAATCCGAGCTAATCCCCGCCCCGCGACTCCGGCAGTGCGGAGATTCGATCCCGCTCACGCGAGGGGGAGTGTCCTGGGTGGCTTTGATTAGCCCCGATTCGCTTCTGCCCTACTTTTCCTAACGCACCGCCAGCTTTTTCGAGAGCTGGGCGTCTAGGTCGCTCATTTCCGCCCTTTCCTGACTTTGCCTTCTGCCTGGATGCCCCTCGCGCGCCCACCCCAGTGAAACAAACAGGGACTCCATCTGCCCCTGGAGACCCCGGTCTCTGGTTTTGGGAACACCTTGTAAACACTTGTGGTAAACTGGGTGACCTTTTTAAAAAAGTGTCCAAGTTGGCAGGAGCGCCACGAGGAATTTCACTTTGCTCTGTCGTTCATAGCAAAATAGGATGGTGGAGAAAGTTTCCTGTTCTGAATATGTTCCTTTCCATCTGTTCAAAATGTCGCTGAGATTTATCTTCACAGGTAAAAATTTCCTGGACGAAGACCCAAATTTAATTATTTTACTAATTCTTAACAATTAAGTCCCAAGGTTTTTCTAAAAAATTTTTTCCAGGGTAAAAACAAAAGTGTGTTTCATGGTTAGCAAAGTAAAAAAAAAAATCAGTTCTAGTCCTGGAGAGATATGTCTAAAGTTTAAATTGGGTAAAATTACAGGTTTTGTACTTTAAAAAAAAAATGATCTATGACTGAGAGCAGTTATTTTAACGGCTAAACTTTTAATTGTGAGTCCTAGTCTCCTTGTTGAATTCCTTAGACTGCACAAGTACAGTTAAAGCTATTGTCAGTTACAGTCAATGATTTGGGGTGAGGTTGATTTATTTGTGGTAATTAAGCCTTAGGGTGTGCCCATGACTGTTTGAACCACCCTATAATTATTTCAAAGTACACAGACCAACTCAGTTAAGGAAATGCAAAGTTTAACCATGTTACAATTAGTATTTAGAAATATGGCATGAATTATATTCACCAGGGAAGTTTCAAGGTTTAATTTGAATAAAGTTAAATACATAACCCAGCTCCTGAGGGACACAAATTTGAAGTCACCTTCACCAAGAAATTCCTATGTTCTATTTAATCTTAGTTTGTTCTTTGGTCCAAAGAGTCACTGAGTATGACCTTCAAAAAGTCATTGAAGCTATTGAACGTGCTGTTACTTCTTTACTATTTCTTTTCCATAAAAGGAAGCTTTTGTAGAATAAATTACTTAAAGGAGGATAGTTCTGTGACGGAAAAAAAAAGTTTAAAATAGTCTCATTTTCCTCATTAACACTATGTTTGTCACTGTGCCCCCAGTACCTAACACAACTCCTGGGTTTAGTAGATGTCCATAGATGTTTATTGAAGGAAAAACAAAGAACCAGTAAACAGTTACATAAGGATTTTAAAAACTGGTTAGGTCATTCAACAAAAATTTATGAATAACTTGTATTAGGCACCAGTAGAGGAAAATACCCAAGAGAGCACTTTGTGCTCAGGACAAACAGCCTTTTCATTTTCTGGGCCTTGGATGGTAGGTGCCCTATGTATTCCAGTTTTTCAGGATGGGGAGATTGAAGCATAGAAATGTAAATTGTCCATCACACTGCTCAAATACAATTGAAATCCAAACACAGACAAGGCATAGAACACTTACCCGTTAATCTATACCACCTGCTGTGGATCAGGCCATGTCTTCAAGGTGAGTGTAGTTCAGTATGGGCAGAAAGCATATTAATAAATAATGTACTGATTTTAGTCAAAATGAAAATATGTGCATGGATGAGAACTTAGGTTCATACAAAAGCATGTATACAAATAGCAACTCTATCATAATTGCCATCAAATTATGCAATTGTATAATGTCACCAACAGGTAAATTAATAAAACTGTAAGGTATTCACACCTTGGAATAGCACTCAGCTATAAACAAGAATGAAATTTTGGCACTGCAACAAGTTCTGTAAATCACAAGGTCATTATGCCAAGTCAGAGAAGCCCGTCTCAAAATGTTACGTATTATGGTTCTATCTGAACAACATTAATGAAATAACAAAACTGTAGTGATCAGAAGCAGATCAGTGTTTGACAAGAGATAGAGGTAGGAGGAGGTATAACTATAGGGAAAAGGCACGAAGGTTTGGGGTGGGGTAGGAGGACTAATGGAGTTCTGTAGTCTGATTCTGGTAGTAAGTGACACATAAGGTAAAATATTCTCTTAACACAGAAGTAGAACTGGAGAGTGCTGTTGATTTTGCCCAGATGTTACTATGTCAATGTGAATTATTCCATCTGTCTTTCGAAAGGACGATACACAGGGTTCCTTTGCAAATAGGTATGATTATGTGACTAAATTTCAGCTATGGCTTTTAAGTAGTGGATGGGATTTCTGTGACCAGCCTTAAACAAAGCGACTATGTTCTTTTTTTTCTTTCTTGCTGCCTAAAATGTAGGTTTACTGTCTTGGAAGACTCCACCAAGATATTTTATCCTTGAAAATGCATATGCTAGGATGGAGAGATTGTAGCATAGAGATGTAAAGTAACTTGTCTATCACACCACTCAGTACAGTTGAAAACCAAACACAGGCAAGGCACAGAACCCTTACCCATTAATCTATGCCACCTGCTGTGGATCGGACCATGTCTTCAGGGTAAAGTGATTGTAATCACTAGCAAGGAAGCAGTGGGCTCTTCATCTCCCTTCTCTCCATGACTGACAGTATACCCAGAAGATTTTCCAAGAAAGATTTGATCCTGTCTTGAATGTTTCTGGGGATCTCCTCCTCCTTGAGCAGTGAAGAGGCCTCCTATTAAATTAGTGAATGTATCTTGGTTACATGTCTTAACATTCATAAAAGGATGTCAAGCTTACTGACTGTAGCTGACTGATGGAATTTATGTTCTACCCTTAATGCACAATGTAAACTATTTTTTCTTCTCAGAGATTGTACACTGAGATCTTTACAATTCAATACTCATCAAAAGACTCAATAACATTTATGGAGAACTGTCTGATAGATACAAAGCTATTTTCCCCTCTAGTTCACTATCAGGAAATACCTGATACTGCTTTTGCTACCATCCTGCTACCATCCTTTCCAAGCCCCTGGCCAACTTTAATCCATAACCCTTTCTTATGCTGAGCTTAGACTCTTGCTCAAATACATTCTTTCCAACCAGTACTTCAGGCAGTCATTGGCATCTCATCAGCATTGGCATGCAGCATGAAATCCATTTGCTATTTCACCTCTAGATCCTCTTAAAAGCCAAACTGTCAGAAAGCCATGAACTTGAAATTCATCATTTTGTCCCCTTGTAATATTCTTTCCTAGAATTGTGCTTTGGACTTATGTCATCAGCCTACATTACACTCATAAGAAGAAAAACCTCTTAGAAGTACATCATATTCACTGTAGGACTATCTTTAGAGTGTCTGTCTTCTGAGGATTCTTTCTGAACATGTGAAGAGTAGAGGTTAAGCAACACTTCTACATTCACTCAGCAAGGGAGAGAGCTAGGAATCGAAGCAAAGATTGCCTGATGGAATAGCCTTTCCTCTTCTCTTTGTGTGCTCAGACCTCCCTACCTTGACTTCCACCTGCCTTCCCATCTTCCTTTTACAGATGCAGTTCTTCACTTTGTTTCCATCCATTGAGGTTCCTATTCCCTGCATTTGATTCCGTTTCTGACCCTCCTGTTGTTTCTTTGTTGTTGGGTTGTTTTTTTTTTCCCTCCCTCTCTTTCCTCCTCATAAAGCTATTCTAGATAAACTCTCCCTGCATTTACTCATCAACCCACTAGTCTGAATCTGCTCCAATCATTTTCCTAAAATTACTTTATTGGAAGTCACTGATGATCTCTTAACTGTCAAATCTGATGACATCTTCACTCCTCATCTTGGCCCATCTCTCGGCAATTTGACAGTGTTGATCGCTCCTGCCTTAGAATCATCTCTGCCTCTGGCTTCAATGACAAATTGCTCTCCAATTTCTCCTCTTATCTCTCTAACCACATCTTGATTTTCCTCACTGGATCCTCT